GACCACAACAAATGCATTGTTATTCAGTGTTTGCTCTTTTCTCTACTCAAGAGGATAGACTATTCAGGTTGTAAGAATTCAACTTTACTAGCAGTTCAACTTAATACCGCATTTCAACTTTAAAAGACTTATTTGAATACATAAATACAGATTTGATGTTTCAAATGTAGCTGAGTCTATCCTCTTCTGGATGGAATTGTGAGTTGAATAAATGGTTGGTTTAAGCCACAAAGTTTTAAGTGGGTTTGTTATGCAGCAAAAGCTACTACAGGCCCTAACTAAAATAAAGTCAAACCAAGTAGAACTGTCTCCGGAGCCTCAGGCTACCAATAATGAATGCAACTCTGAATGTTCTTCAGCACGGGAAGTCCACATCCCTGCGTCATGTGGGACGCACTCACCATTCCAGCTCACTGTGTCACAGCCTCGGCCTCACACTGGGGAGGACCATGGGCAAAATCATGCCATGACACACGAATCATTCACATAGTTTACATTACTTCGAAAAAAAATGAGTAAGCTCCAATCTTTGACTAAGAAAAACAGCCCACCTCCATTCAAATTTTTGCTACTATGCATTTCTTTCATTTCTTTAAAAAGAAAAAAAAAACCAGGAACAGCCAATGTGCACATGGGAAGTGTCATGTTTTAGTCTTGCTTCATGATCAGTAGCAGTGGCCACTTCTCAGATGAGAAAGCTCAGAATAAATATTGTGCCATGTCTGTATAGTACACCATTGTCCTCAAGGACTCCGCTCATTGATAAACAGCCTCACCAATAATCATAACATATGGATGGTCATAAGAATCTCCATGCAGGTGACATGATTCTCATGCGAAATGATCAGCTTTGCTTCCTATACTGATATTTCTTGTGATAGTTTTGAATATATGTATTATTTATATAAGGGAACAAATCCCATCTATCGTATATATGCAGATATGAAAGCATAATGATATTTCCACCCCACCCTCCTCGCTGCCCTCACTCATACCTTCCTTTTGTTTTAATGTTTCAGCAACAGATGGGCTTATGTAATCAGCCCCAGGCTGTAGGAACTGGCTGCTACAGATGCTAAGCACCTGAGCAGCCTTAGTACCCAGGGCAAAGGGTTCTAAGCTCTTGCATCTGCTCTCCAGTCTCGTATTCATATAGAGGAATGTTGAAAACCCAACCTCTTTTTTATGAAGTATCCAAGGGCAAAAAATACATTCTGTGAAACTAGTAGGGGCAAAAAAGGCCCATGCAAATGTTGTCCTGAGTTGCCTCAGAAGCAGACCTTGAAATGAACATGCTAATGCAAAGTAATTTATTTAGGGGCTGATCTCAGGAAATACCCACAGAGGAATAGGAAACTGATACAGGGAAAGGGAAACAGTCAACAGTGTATTATCCAGACAGCTACTGCTGTGAGAGACTGGAGCTTAATCCCGTGGATAAACTCGAAGGAGCGATATAAATCACACACCTTAGTTGTCTTGTTCAGGAGAGGCGAGAGCTGCGGTATACTCAAATACCAACTCCCCTCAGGGTTTGGTTGCAAGCCACTCCCACAGGTGTTAATCCCTAGCTCTTTCATCCTCTCATATAGAGGGTCAAGAAGCCTTCCGGCCTCTGAAAACATTCCGAAAGATACTGGTAGTTAAAATTCAGCTGAAAGGCTCATCAACTGGTAGTTATGGATACGGGACATGGCAGACATTGGTTACAGGTACTTGAACTACAGAAGTTCTTATCTCCTGCCTATTGAGAAGGGGAGCATAGATCAATCAACTGCAGGAGACACTGCATGGAATACTTGTGGATGTCTGAAATTTGAGGGCAACTTAAGGATTCCATGATTGTTAATGCCACCTACAGAGAAAGTACAATGGACACCAGCATTCATCACGGGCCTCGAAGCTGCCTTGGGAATCCTAGTGATGTGCACCAGACAAGGACAATACACCACGATAGGGACATTCACCAGCACCTGGGAAATAGCATTTTACTTTGTTGACAGTGGATTTTCCCAGTTGGTGTGGAGGCTTTATAAACAACACCCAGCAGCTAAGACAGATGTGAGGCCACTAGTTTAATCACTTCTCTTAACTAGGAGGTCTAAAAAAGGCCCAAACTTGACAGAGAAGTCTCATGGGAGAATTGTATGATCCGAAAAGTATCCCAGTTTTCCATATAGTGCAAACACTAATAAGCCAGGAAGCCAGGGGGATAAAAGGAATTGCTTAATAGATTCAAATGGCTATAGTAAAATGGGACTACTGAGTTTACCAACTTCCAATTCTGAGGAAATTAGGGCCCAAGTAATCTAGCCATGTATATGCTTGATGAGGGCCTCCGTGGAAGCCCTAGGGGAAGATCATTCCTGATCTTCTAGAGACATGGAGTGGTTTCCTTTACTCGGGGTCTCTGCTCCTCTACTCATTTTCTTCCTCAAATCACTACAGGGAATCAGGTTGGGTCATATTCCAGTACCACTAGTCAGGCCATTCTTGCTGATGGGCAGGCTCACTGTGCTTTTAGTATAGTGGTTAAGATGACCGAGTCCCACATCAGTGTACTTGAGTTTGATACCTAGGCTCCGGATTCTAATTGCAGTTTATTGCTAATGCACACCTTGGAAGGAAGACAGTGACAGATCAAGTAACTGGGTCCCTGCCACCAACATGGGAGCCGTAGATTGAGCTCCTTGCAATCCTCAGGTCCAACATCAACCACTGGGAGCTTTGGGGGAGTGACCCCAAATGGCAGCACTCCCTGTTTCACAACTCAATAAAATTGCATCCGTGTATATTGTACAGTCTCCTGCTTCCTTTGGCCTCCAAGCATCTGCCATGGTAAACTTGGATATACTATTTCCTCTCCCCAACATAGCAGCCAAGTCTAAATATTCAACTGTCAGTCTAAGCCTCTTGTATGAATTAGAATTTCTTTGAAATGGGACTTTTAGATTTTCTAGGGTAGTCTGAATTCTCTGTGCAAGTGTGACGATCAAAGGGATTTTGTGGGAACATTCTGCATCTGTAGTGTTGCATTCGTTGAACCAAGCAATGATCTGGTGTTCACTGTAAGGGTTTCCTTGGTAGGTCAGAGTCAATGATGTAATTATACACTCTTGCTGGAAAATTGAAAAAAAAAAGTTATGTTTTTCTCTAGATAGTGCAATCTTTGAGTCTTGGGATGAAGCAAAACCATTTCATGTGTTTCTAGGGATGACATGAGAAGCATTTACTGAAGGACTTGGTGACTGAAGTTCCTATCTCTTTGGTCCAAGAAAGGCTTCTGTGAGCCATACGGATCAGGGCAATGGTCTCATGAAAGGCCTGGAAAAACTTACCTGCAGACTTTCTCCTTTAACGTAGATAGCCACACACAGCTCAGTTATTAACCATTTTGGATTTAACCAAGAAAGAGCAGCATGTAGATTTGCATGGAAGGGTTCAAAGAGCTTGACTACACCTACTCCCACCTCCATCTTCATCCCTCCAGAAGAAGAGGAGGGTTAACTCGATGTATGTATCAGAGGCCAGGCCTCTCACTGTGCTGTTTGATAATGTACCGGCCTTGGGGTTTTGTGATGGTGTGCAACAGCTTATAGCTATCACCCGCTCACTGCTGGCTGGGTTGACAGCACAGACAGCATGGAAACAGAGGTTCTACACCCTGCCCTTCCCTCCTGCTTCCCACCACACACACACACCATTCAGGTTAATTGAATCCACAGACCAGCTCTGGAGGCCCCAAGTACATGCCCCACCCCTTGACAACCTGAAAATGGCTCAGGGAGATCCCTAGAACCTGGCGCCTCCTTCCTCCTACTGTGCTACTTTAGGTTAATTAGCTACAGGGAAACTTTGGGTTCCAGCAGCTCCCTTCCTGCTTCCTGCCACTTAGTTAATTGAATGCATGGATACCTTGTTTGCCCTGTATGGCTTTCAATCTGAGTGGAAGTTGTGAACCTAATAGCCCCTGACTTTGGCACACCCTATGCAGTGGCTCCTGGAGTACAGCGGGAGCTGCTGGCATCATGTTTGGAAATCTGGGTAATAAATGAAAAATTAGAAGAATCCAGTAGACACTGAGCTGTCATTCTCCAAGATCTATGTTGCAGAACCTATATGGGAAGACTGAGGACATGAAAGATGCTAGCTTAGCATTCAGGGACTATACAGGGCTTCACAGTATTATAGTAAATAGAGTCCGATTTAAAAAAACACAAAGGATATTGGTAGGGAAAAGAGGCAACTAATTAGTTACCCAAACTTTTTTAATAACTAACATCACCATCTTGCATCCCCAGGTTTGTGTATTTGCTGTGTTTCATACCAGATTCAGGTCCATTTTCCTAGTTCTATTATACTTTGAGCTTGATCACAGGCTCTTTGCTGAGCAGACAGCCCCTGTGGCAGAGGTGATAATAGAAGACATTCTATTTGTTCCCTGACATTTACCAGGGACCCAGGACCACAGGACTGGTTTGGGGCAAGATAATGCAAGTAGTTGTGAAATGTGTCACTTTTGGTCTGAGGCAATGAAGAGTCTGTAGGACATTGTCCAGCCTCTCATTTGCTGCTACAGCGGCAGCTGAAAGGTCAGTCAGCCCAGAAGCTTGAGCTAACTGGGCAGAGCAGATCCCCTTCCATTCTCGTATCCTGCTCATCTGCAAGGGCTATGTAGTGCAAGCAACACTCAACTCTTGCTGCCTCAAACCTCTGACACATTGGGACTGTGACTTGAGCATAACTGAGTCCCTAGGGAATAGAAACCCCTCCTGTGTGCACAGGCCTCATGGCACAGTCTTAGTTGTTTAAAAACAGAAAGAAACTTGCAAGTTACACCCAGGTTCCTCTGAGCTGCCGTAATGGGACAGAAGATCACACATCAGTCGACAAGCAAAGTTTGAACTTTCAAGCAAATACACAACAACGAGCCACGCGATTCAGGAAACACGGCTGCTTTCTACCACACAAAAAACAGGAAATAATTAAATTTCTTATAGATATTTCTTTATTATATTTTCCCACTTGAATATTTAGAGAATAATTTAAATGTAATGCATACTGACAGCAAGCACAGTATCAAATATGAGCTTTTTTTTTTTTAATAATTCTTTTCTCACCCTTTATTCCGTTAGGAAAAAAAAATATTTAGATAACCTCAAAGAAACAATTATTATGCTAATCACAGTATGCAGCAACACATACAAGCCCAGACTCAATAGAAAAGAAAGCAACAAAGAAGTGAAAAAGTCTTTCTCCTCAAATCACTTTAATTCATTTTTCCACAGCCATATAAATTTAAAGTATGAAACAACAATAATACAGCTATAGAATCTAGGTTCTCTTTCAAAGCAGCGGCATATAAAACATAGAAAAGCTAAAACCTCAGCACAAGCTTCAAAAAAACAAGGACTGAGCAGATTTGGATGAAAACATGAAATGCACAAAATACAGTACACAAAAATACTACAATGCATAAAATATAAAGCTACACATTTCAGGTAGAAAGCATTGTAAAATATATAAAATATGCAAGAAATCAAAACCAAAGAGATTTTTTTTCTCAGAGTACCATAAATACACTGGAACTGGCAATTAGCATTTGAAGAGGGGAACAAGAAAATAGCAGTTTCCCACTTAAAACTTTATTTCTAGGCTTTAGGATTTCACCTTCTTGACATCCTTCTTTCCAGAGCTCTCAGTAGCTGACTCTGCTTTTCTTTTCTGTGACTAAAATGGAAACAGATTTAATGTTCTGCTCCAATATGCACATATTTAAATGGCCCAACAATGTTAAATCTAGGATGTAAATGCATCAAAAAAATTTTAACATGAATATTCACTTCAGTGTTATACTCACAGTTAATGTTCTATATAGTCCCACAAACTATATAACCCAATGTAAAATAACCTTCAAAGATGTTTCTTTTTACAAAAAGACATAAAATAGCCATCAAAAATAGTCATCAAGTATCTACTTACACATGGTATTATAAATGTACTCTTATCGTAAAGAACTGATTAATACTCAAAGTTTTCCAGGCAAAATTTCACTTAAGTGTATCATCTTATAAAAATTTCCAGCAGGTTTTAACATACCATATTTCATATCTTCTATGATGCACATTTCTGTCACATGTTCACATCTCTGAAATCAGGATGTAGCTCACAAGTGATGACAAATTCTTTTTTGGCAGCATTTTTTTCTTGGTGGTATATAAAAGAATGCTGTCTTACCAAGGGAAGGCATCTTAGATTTGATGAAATATGGCAGTTTACTTAATGATACCCAAAGAGTAGGATCTAATAAAGAGTATTTTAAATCATTCCCATACAAAGCAATATTACGGGATTAAAATCAAATTATCTAATTGTTCAACAGTTTCTGCTCTAAGTTCGCATTTGCACACTTGGTTCCACAAAGAGCAGAAAACACGTCTGAGCAAATCAGAACTTCCAATTTCTACTTCACCCCATCCCATCCCATCCTACCCTTCTCCTGCCTTCATCAGTCTCCATTCAAAGGATTCAATTTGCATTGTACTTCTGCCTAGATCCATGAGGAAATATTTTAACTACTAAGCCCCATTGCTAGGGAATTTTTAATCATATTCTATAAACAAATAGGGAACATATGGTTGTCTTGTGATTCTTTTTCTGTCCAAAACAAATTCGTATTTCAAAGAACCAGTTTTTGTAATAGGTATCACTATGACATTAAACATAGCATAGGTATTTTAATTATGTAAAAAAAAATGGGATCTACCTAAAAGTTAGGAAAATGCTGAAAATTTTACCATTGGAGTTTTAGTTGCCCGTTTCTTCTTTTCTGCCCTCTCTCTTTCCTCAATCTCCATGTTTTCTTTCTCAATCAATGAAATCAGAGTGTTGCAGCGTCTCTGGAATTCCTGAAAGCAACAATAAAACTTTCTCACTCCCATAGTCCAGTCATATTCTTTAAACAGGTGACAATTCTTTGTGTCATTTCTGTGATGTGGAATTTCCAGAACTGGGATGTTTGAAAACAACATTCATATAGCATATTAAAGATTCCACCAAAAATAAGAGGCAGGGCAAATGCCATTCAACAGTATTAAGCAAACCATAGTATATCCACATCACAGCATACTACTCAGCATTAGAAAGGAAAGAACTACTGACACATACAAGGAATGGGCCTTAAGGTAATATGCTGAGTGCAAAAAGGCAATCTGAGGGCCCGGCGCAATAGCTAGTGGTTAAGGTCCTCGCCTTGCACGCCCAGGATCCCATATGGGTGGCGGGATCCCATATGGGCACCTGTTCTAAACCTGCTTCCCTTCTAGCTTCCCAGGTGTGGCCTGGGAAAGCAGTCGAGGACGGCCCAAAGCTTTGGGCTCTTGCACCCGTATGGGAGACCTAGAAGAAGCTCCAGGCTCCTGGCTTCAGATTGGCTCAGCTCCTGCCATTGTGGTCACTTGGGGAGTGAATCATCAGATGGAAGATCTTCCTCTCTGTCTCTCTTTCTCTCTGTTATATCTGACTTTGCAATAAAAATAAACAAATCTTTAAAGAAAAGGCAATCTGAATCATATGATTCACTCACTCATTTGGCACTTTTTAAAATAAAATATTTATTATTTTAAAAAGTTATGAAGACATGGCAAAAGACACAGAGAGATCTATCTGCTGGCTCACCTCCAAGACAGCCACAATGGCTGGGGCTGAGCCAAGCCAACATTCATAGAAATGTACTGATGGAAATAAATGTACACAAAGATTTACAAAAGAATGTTTACTGTAGTGTTAGGGAGATACTGGAGACTACCTAAATTTTGGTAATGTGAAGAGAATACGCAGATTTATATTAGGTAGGTATACACAGCAATAGAATACTGACAGTAGCTAACTAACAGCAGCTAACTATCAGAGTGGGACCACTGATAACTTCTATTTTCTTCTTTATACAAGTACCAGCCTGTGTTTTCCAAATTGTCTGTAATAAACATTTAGGTCTTGAGCAATCTAACAGTCTTGATAAAACAGCTATTGTTTTCCTAAATACTCATAATAGAGTTTTATTTTTCCAAATAAAATCCAGAAAAATGGCATGCAATAGAGGAAACATTAACTACAGAAATATAATCAACTATCCAAGCATTCTCTGCGTTAATTGGAGCTCTAAAAAAGGCAGACAACCAAAGATTCTAGCCAGGAAAAGCTCACTAATCAATTATTGCTTATCTATTAAAGTGATCTTACATACAATTATCCAAGATTAAATAATTTAGGAAGACTAACACTAGAATTTTCCTTACTTAACAAAACAATCACAACATTTTCATATGCAGACTAAATGCTCTTCATAGCTTCCCTCAATAATACACATACAAGTTAAGCAGCATGTTATTTAATTTATCTATTATAGAAAGGGCTAAGTTGACCCTGATGAGATTTGACCATTAGTTTCTAGAGAGACTAGATAGAGTCTTCATGTGAAGCTTATTCTTGAATCATTAAACTATACCCTCTGGCTGTTATTATTCTCAATAAGTAATAGTTGCCTATGACTGCACTTATCTTTAGATACATATTCCTGGTTTATATGCATGATTCAGGAGAAAAAACTAATTCTTTGAGACAGTCTGTGTAGAGGGAAGTTACATGTCTCCAAATGATTATAAATAGACGATATCGGGAGTTCTTTATTCCCTTTAACCTGTCACTAAGTACTCCAGACACAGAAAAATAACCTACCCTCTAGAGAAAGGCATCAAGTAATGGATGAGTAAGGATGTTACCTTTTCAGCACAGGTCTCTGTCACATTTTTGGGAAGACCAACTCCATTTTTTACCCTAGCTAAACAGATGGTATCATAAAAAGAACACTATCTAAAATCGGAAATCAAAAGGGAAAAGGACAAATTAACAAGACCATGACTTCTTTTCATAAGTGCTTTTGAAGTTTTAATTAGCTTTTAACACAGATACAGTTATAAGAATATAACGATATTCCCTCCTTCCCTTCCTCCTCCTCTGGCTACCTCCCATCCCCACTTTCTTTTTCTTATTTTTTAAGATAACATTGTAAATTTACATTACAGTAAAAAAGGTTTAATGCTTCGCCAAGAGGTTTAACAAGCAAAAAGCAAATAGACCTTAGATTAGTGGGAATACAGATGATAGCAAAAGACAATAATTGATGAGAAAATAGCCATTTCACACATCCCTCATACAAAGAACTCGGTGACTATGAGAAAGTTCATGTCAAAAGAACTTTTCGCTTTCTACAATTTTTCTCTTTGCACAGTCTCTCAGATTCTTGTACCTCTCTACCTTCCTATTTTTCTGGGGTTAGAAGGAAGGGTTCATAGGACATCAGCTTCCACAATTCTGTAGCTTAATTAGCTCTTTTTTGCCCCATTTCCCCACACTGGATTTAGGAATGAGGGGAATGAGGTGGGAGGGAGAAAAAATGACACACCAGAGGAAAAGGGGGGATGCAAAAATGAGAAGGAAAATAATAGGACAGTGATGAACGTAAAAGTAGTCTTAAATGTCAAGAGCTGTGGCAACAGACCAAAATATCTTATTTGGTTCAGATGTGGGGGAAACATTAGAATGCTAAGAAGTGAAGCAACTCTCTTTATTGCAGGACTTCTCAGAGCATTCAGCACCCAAGGTGTCAAAACAAAAATTGAGCATCAGCACATCCCAAATCTATTTGAATACAGAATTCTTCTGTATGTCTTCTGTTTGCATATCCTGGCCAGTGGTTGGAGAAACAACTTTTAAGGAATGTGGTACAGCATTAAGAGTGATGGGTAGGGCCCGGCGCGGTGGCGCAAGTGGTTAAGGTCCTCGCCTTGCACGCCCGGGATCCCATATGGGCACCGGTTCTAATCCCAACGGCCCCACTTCCCATCCAGCTCCCTGCTTGTGGCCTGGGAAAGCAGTCGAGGACGGCCCAAGGCCTGGCTTCGGATCAGCATAGCATTGGCCATTGCGTTCACTTGGGGAGTGAATCATCAGACGAAAGATCTTCCTCTCTGTCTCTCCTCTCTGTATATCTGCCTTTCCAATAAAAAAAAATATAATAAAAATAAATATTAAAAAAAAAAAGAGTGATGGGTAAACCTAAGTTAGGATCAAAGTACTCAGAACTTACAAAGTAACAAGGAACTAAGGCATTGTTCTTAATTCTGCCAAGCACAGCATCCCATTGACACTTTTTTTAAAAAGCAGGACAAGCAATATAATCAAAGGTGTATTTTGTACTCCAAAAGTTTCCCTTAACAATAGATTCTCACTAGAGGGAATTCATGAAGTCATAGGCTCTAAGGATTAGAAAGGATTTGTAAGATTTATTTATTTTTGCTTGAATGGAAGGTTTACAGAGAAAAAGAGACACAGAGAGGTCCTCCACCTGCTAGTTCACTCCCCAAATGGCTACAATAGCCAGAGCTGAGCTGATCCAAAGCCAGAAGCCCATTGCCCTCCTCTGGGTCTCGCACATGGGTACAGAGGCCCAGAGACTTGAGTCATCCTCCACTACTTTCCCAGTCCATTAGCAGGAAGCTGAATGGGGAGTGGAGCAGTTGCTATTTGAACTAGCACCCATATGGGATGCTGGCACTTGTGGGTGGAGGATCATCCTGTTAGGCCACCATACCATTCCCTAGAAAGGACTTCTAAAAATCGTTTAAGTTGATAGTTCAATCCCTTGATACTTAGTTGCCCAGCTTTGTCTGAATTCTTCCAGTCATTGAGTAGTCACTATCTCCCAGAGCTGGCTCGCTATTCTACCCAGGGAAGGCTAAAAAAGCTCTTTTATGCAAAGCTAAACCTTGTAGCTTTCTAGTTTTCAACAACTGGACCTAGGTCAAAGTTTCCCAGCATATGGAGAACAATCTGATTTCCTTTTCCATGTAATCATCCTCCTAAGGAATCTGCAAGGCAGCGGCCACATCTTTGCCACAATTACTACTCTTCTAGCCTAAATATTCTCTCCCATTTCTCACGCTTCATTCATACATCTCATAAAGGACTATGTCATACACAAAGGTACTTCCAGCAGTGTATGGAAAATAGAATTAAATGATAAGTTTGCTACAAAAAGAAAAACTTTGATATCTAGGTATAATTGCTTTTCAGAAAAACACTTTCCATGAGCTTTTTGGACACCCCTCCTATCACACCCTTGGCTTCACAATATCTTTCTTTCCACTTTCACTGTGCATTATTTTAAACCAGGAGTCAGTACATGTTTTCCAGTAAAGATGGCAGAAAGGTTTTGCCTCTGCAATTCACACAGGCTCTGTCACGGCCATTCAACTCTACCACTGCTGCATGAAAACAGGTATAGATGATCTGTAATTGCCAGTGTGGCTAAGGTCCTCATGGCCACTCAAACAACAACTGGAAAATTTTCACATCACAAAATAGTGTCCCTGCTTTGATTTGTTTTTTCCCAACTACTGAAAATATAAAACTCATTCTTGACCTGCTAGCCATGCAAAAATAGGTGGTAGGCCACAATTTGCCAACCCCTGTTTTCAGCTACAGACTTGAGACTGAATTTCAACAAAATTGGTCAGCCTTGGTTTTTCCACACCATTTTAACTGCCCAGGATTTTATTCAAAGCAAGTACTCACAATTCAACTTTTGGATACTAGGACATGTACCCCTGCCCCCAATAAATGATGTAATGTTTTCAATGAGTGGTGCTGCCCCTTAGCATGTGGTGAATATCAATCCTGCTGCCTACCAAGTTCAAATATCCTTTGCACTGATACGCACTTGGCTTCAAAGCATCAATTCAAAAGGCACAGAAAGCATCAGTAGACTTGAAGTGACTTATTGAAACAGATTAAAGAGGCTCCACATTACATTTTCTATGTACTAAAATCCTAGACACTAAGCCTACCT